CCCAGACCGAAGCCATGGAAGTGGGATGGAGAGAGAGAGGGGATGAATGAGAGGTGACAGGCCCTCCTCCCCAACTTGTCCCCACCCGTTGGGGTCCTGGGGCCTGATGGTCAGACACCATTCCTTGGAGCCCCAGAGTCGCCCAAAGAGACCTTTCTGGAGCCTGCTGCAGGTTCCGAGGCTCCGATGTCTTGCCTGGCAGAGCGAGCAGGTGTGAGCGCAGCAGCCTCCAGGCCCAGCTCCCCGGAGCGCCAATTCTGAAAATGACAAACGGAGAGATCCAATAAGAAGGTTGGAAAATGGGCACCTCTGCGCCTCCCTGTGTCTATTGCAGGGTTTGGAAATAGCTGAGATGAAAGGAGAGCCGCAAGGAGGGGGTGCCCGCTGGGCAGGCGAGAGGCCTAAAGGGGCTGTGGCTACTGGCGCAGCGAGCAGGAGGCCGAGGAGGGAGAGGACGAGACCCAGGAGAGGAGGGGCGGTGAAGTCAGGGAACAGCAAGGACACGCTCGCCCAGAACGTGGAAAAGACAAACATCAAAATGGACACACACAAAAAGACTGTTGTGGTGTGGCCTAAGACTGTGCAGAGTGAGAGAGTGTGTGTGGGTGGGTGGGTGGGTGGGTGGGGTGTGTGATGCAGGCTTTGAGCAGCAATTCGAAAGCCTCCGGCCCCTTAGCCCATCCGAACACCCCCTTCTCTCTTCGCCAGCCCCCCCACCACAAAAAAAAAAAAAAAGAGAGAGAGAGAGCAAGAGAAGGAAGGAAAACAAAATATCTACAGTTGTCGAGACAAGAGGAGAAAAATAGAGGCAAACATCCGTAATTTTCTCTGTGGGGCTTTGCGGTAATTGAGCCATTTGGATAAAAATAAAGGCAGCAGGCCCCTTAGGTAAGAGGAGCTTTTGCAATCTCAGAAGCTTGAATTATGCGTCTTGTGTCACTTGAAATCCCCCGGGCTCCCCCTCCCACAGGCGACCCAAACCACTTTCCCTTTTCTTATTATTTTTTTAAGTACCCTGTCAAATGTCATCTGTAGAGCTGAGAATTTCAGCTGTCACAACTAATTTCAATTTTTCCATGTGCTTCTCCCCTCTTGGTGTCCTGGGGGAGGGGCCTGGCTGAGCCCCCTCTCCCTCCCTCTTGCATCTGCTCACTCTTTTTATTTATCATTATTGTTATTATTTCAAAACCAGATTTACATCATAAATTTGTTTGGGGAGTGTTTAAGGACCGTGGTTTGCTACTCTGGGAGGCTGGGCCTGGCCCTGTTGGTTTCCAGCTTCCCTCCCCCCACAGCCCCCACCTACACCACCCGGAGCCCCCAGGACTCCCACCACTCTCTTCTTGGTCCCCCACTACCGACTCCGACCATCCACCGGGGAAAATGCAGACCTCAGACACAACATCGATTCTTGAGGTTCTGTCACAACCACGGGTACTGCACGTCTCCCCAAGGGGGGAGCTCTTGGTAGATGGAGGACAGAAGGGGAAAGGGTCACTGATTTGGGCCACTACCCACTCTTCTGCATCTTTCTCGTCTTTTCCCTCATGTTTCTTTCCTTTGCAATTCATGCATTAATTCAACGGGCATCGATCCTGGGCCACCTCCTTTGTGCCCGACCTGCCAGGGGGCTGCGCACACCAGGACGAGTAAGGTACAACCCTTGCCCTTGAGGAGATGACTACCTAGCGGCGTCCCGGACACAAAGAGGCACTTGGATTGGTCCAAGGCATTTGATGTGCTGGCCGGTGGCTGTGCAAGGACAGTGGGGCACAGCGGAGGGAGGTCACTTTTAGCTCACCTATGGTGAGGACTTTGCCAGGGAGCAGTGCTTGAGCGGGCTCCTCGAAGCAAACGGAAGCTTGCCTGCTGGACAACTGTGGGAAGGGAGTTCTAGGTGGAGGTCACCGCATGGACAAAGGCTGGTGTCATGAGTTGAATTGTGTCCCTCTAAAATTCGTATGCTGAAGTCCTAACCCGCAGCACCTCAGAATTCGACCTTATTTGAAAACAGGATCATTGCAGATGTAATGAGTTAAGATGAGGCCATACTGGAGTACGAGAGGACCCTAATCCCATACGACTGGACAGAGACACACACGGAGCGGGGGGAGGCATCTTCAAGGGCAGATGAAGGCGGAGATTGGAATGATGCTTCTACAAGCCAAAGAACCACGACGAGCGCCAGCAAACCAGCTCAAGCTGGGGGGGGAGCATAGAACAGGTTCTCCCTCACAGCCCACAGAAGGAACCAACCCCACAGATAGCTTGATCTCAGACTTCTAGACTCCAGAACCGTGAGACAGTAAATTTCTGCCGCTTAAGCCGCCCCACCTGTGGCACTTTATGCCGCAGCCCTGGGAACCCAATGCGCATGGAGACATGAAGCTGCACGTTCTGAGAGGCGTGGGTAATTCAGCAGGCGGGGTGCTTGGGGTTGGAAAGGGGTGGGGCTGGAGTGGAGCAGGGCCACATCCTGCAGAATGGGGGCCACTGTGCGGAGGGAAGTGGGGAGTCAGGGAGGGCACGGGAGCCCCTTAAGCAGGAAGGAGAGGGGAGGGGACGTGCTTCGTGAAATGCCCACCCTGGTTACAGAGGAAGCACCAGAGGGGCAAGGCTTCTTTTTCCTCCCATTCCCTCGCTCTCCCCTCCCCTCTGCAAGCACGGTGGGGGGCCAGGCCTGGCTTTACTCGTCAGTGGGTTCTAGGCCCTGGAAAGGGCCTGTCCCTCAAGGGCCACAACCAGTTTGTTGAGAGAAGAAACAGGTCAACCAGCGCTTGGTTCCTCAGCTCTTCCCCCGCTGGCCCCCTTGGTTACAGAACACTCTTTAAATAACGGAGCTGAGCGACAGCGTGTCCCCTCTGGGACACCCCTCACTGTGCAGCCCGTGTGTGAGAGCAGAGGCTGTAGAAAGAGAAGTGGTCACTTGGGGGCCGGTGTCACTCAGTGAGGACCATTGTAGATGTGGCAGAGGCCAGGCCCCTATTTCTCAATCCCCTCTCTTCCTTCTTGGTCCTCCCAGGTTCCCAAAGTGAGCTGCTCGATTTTCTCCTGTGTTGTCCTGCCTTCCTCTCCTGCCCCTGCTATTCCTGGGAGAGAGCAGGGAAGGGCCTGGGAAAGAACCCTTCTCCACGAGTGGGAGGGCCTGAGGCACAGAGAGGTTACATGAGCTGCCCAAAGTCACACAGCTGGTAAGAGGCAGAGTCGGGGAGTGGAACCCAGGAAGTTTGGGCCAGAGCCCTCGCTCTCAACACCTGTACAGCCCCCATGAGGGCCCTGGTGGGCACTCAATACCTATTTGCTTAATTCAGTGCTCACTTCCAGAAAGGCAGTGTAGCCTGCTGGTTGAGGGCATGCTCCCTGCAGTCAGAGTGCCCGCAGCTGAATCCCAGCTCTACCCCCTCCCAGCTGAGCCACTGGACCACTCAGAGCTCTGATTCTCTCAGCGAAGTATTAGAAAACTAATGGTTCCTACCGCTAGTGGCAAGTACTGGCTGCTGTCCACCAAACCGTTTCCCTTCTGCCATCAGGCACAGGGCTAGACTACATTTCCCAGGCTCCCCTGCAGGCACCACGTGACTGAGCTCTGGCCAATGGAATATGGGAGGAAGTGAAGTCACCACTCCTATGGCTGGCTCCTAAAATGTGCTGCGCCATTCTTCCTGCTCTCCCCCCGGGCCACGAGGGACTGTGTGGAGCAGAGTCCCCCCCTGCACCCCACCCACTGCTCCCTCCCCCCAACAGTGGGCTGTGATACGAGCAGGAATTGAGCTCTTATTGTGGGGTTATGTGTTAAGAAGTTCTGGTCTGTGAGCACGCTCCCCATCGGGCTCACAGGAGGCCGAAGGGTGAATCTCTCCCAATATGCTGGGCACAGGGCTTATGCTTCATAAGCACTGGGTACCGGTTTATCACCATTGTTCCAGAGCTCCCTCCCACTACAGTGTGAGCTCCCGGGGCCCAGCGCGTCCTGGGTCTGCTAAATCCACGCAGGGTGTCTGGTGTGCCTGTGTCTGGCGTTTGGGTCGGGGTTCCCATCCCAGGCCTTCAGCCTCCAAGAGCTGGGCTCCCTGTTGTTCTGTCAGGGGTACAGCAGGCTGGTGGCCCCTGGCTTCTGTAGCCTTCCTGCTCCCTCTAGCTGTAGGCTCAGCCCTGCCCCCACCCACAGTGAGAAGGATGTGTCAGCACCCACCGCGGGGATCCCCTGGCCTGTGGCCTGCCTCTGACCCTGGCTTCAGAGTTCTTATGCAGGGGGGTAAGGAGCCCTCCTAGTATTTGGCTTCAGAGGGCCCAAGAACTCCCTAAGTCACATACCATAACCTGGGCAAAGCTATGCTGCCTCCTCCCTCTGAATGTCTATGCAAGGGGCACCAGTGTCACACAGCATGACACCTGCGGGCCAGCCCCGCCTTCCTAATATTTAGGAGCTGTTAAGGGAGCTGTGTGAGTTTGGACAAGGACCTTAACCTCTCTGAGCCTCGGCGTCCTGCTTTGCTGCTCCTAGGCCCAGCCTGCTGGTTATGGTGCAGAGAGTAAGTGCTCAACCAACGTTATAGGGTCAAGGCTCCGCCCACCCTTCTCATCCCAACAGAAACTAGGGGGATGAGTTTCAAGTGCTGAGGAAGTGCTTCTGAGACAAGGTCGCCACGGGCAGCATCGGGGCAGACCCGGGGGAGCCAGCCCCACCAAGCCTCGCGCTCTGTGCCGGGGCTGCAAGTCATTCGGCTGGGAAATCGCTTGTCCACAAGCCCGAGCCCGCTCACGGAGCTGTGCTACCATGAGGGAAATTGCCCTAAATGTGAATCCGCGGCCGAGCCCAGGGAGAGCGATTTCGATGCTCAGGAGCAGACAGCGGTGGCCCTTCCGTGCACAATGTTTTCAGCTCGTCTGCCTTCCAATCACTCCTAAATAATACGTTTTGTTTGGTGTGACTGCTCACAGGGGCCCTGCTCCACCCGGCACTGGAAGCCGCAGCACAACATTTAAAGTCACATCTGCTTTTCATTTGTAATGAACACGATGGGTTTTAGGTTCCCACAGCCCACTCGCCCGGCACTGAGGAGCGGCTCTCTCCAGGATCACCTTGGGCCACTGACAGGCTCGTCACTGAGCAGACACGAACAGGGCTCAGAGGCTTCAGCAAGGGGTGGACGAGGGTAGCCAGGTGGCTGGGAAGCGGTGTTTCTGGGTTCGGTTGCTGACGCTCCCACTCGCTGGCTATGTGACTCAGGCAGGTCGTTGACCTCTCAGAGCCTCATTTCCTCATCTGGAAGAGAAGATAAGGTCCTTGTCAACCAATGGTTCCTCTAGTCCTGATTTCCCCAAGCAAGGAACCAGTAGGCAGCGTTCTTGGTTTGCCATGCCCCCCTGCCCGTGACAACGGCTTCAAAAGTCAGCTTCTAAATGAGTGCACTCGTGTTCATAGCAGCATTATTCACAACAGCCAAAAGGTGGAAACTCAAGTGCCCACTGATGGATGGATGCATAAGCAAAATGTGGTCTATCCATACAATGGAATATTATTCAATCTTAAAAAAGAAGGAAATTCAGAAACCTGCTCCTACACGGATGAAGCTTCAGGACATTATGCTAAGTGAAATAAGCCAAACACAGAAGGACAAATATTGTATGATTCCACTTATATGAGGCCCCTAGAGTAATAAAATTAATACAGACAGAAAGTCAAATGGTGGTTGCCAGAGGCTGAGGGAAAGGAAGAATGGGGAGTTCATGTTTAATGGAGACAGAGTAGCAGCTTTGCAAGATGAAAAAATTCTACAGGTGGATGGTGGTGGTGCTTACCCAACGTGACTGTATTTAGTGCCCCTGAACTGTACAGTGACATGGTTAAAGTGGTGAATTTTATGTTATGTACATTTTACCACAATTTTTTTTTAAATTTGTGAATTAAAAAGAAAAATTGGCTTCTAAAAAAACCAACCTGAAAAGGAAGAAAAGAGAACAACAAATACACACCATTAGGAATGGTATATAACCAAGGAGAAGATTTCAAAAATTAGTAGCAAATTCCATGTATAGATCTAGGCTAATAATATAAAAAATATGAATGAAACGAATGATTTGCAATTTCCAAGAAATTGTAAAATTACTAAAATTGACTTTAAAAGAAGTAGAAAACCAAATAATGCGTTAACTGTGGAAGAGGTAGACAGCTTTCTCAGAGAATTCTCTCCCAAAGAAAGTCCCCAGGCCCTGATCGTTTTATGTCTGGATTATTTCAGACCTTCATGAAACAGGCAATCCCAAGATTCAGACTCTTCCACAGCAGAGAAAAGAATGGAAGTTTCCCAATTTATCCTATGAAATTCGCATAACCTTCTTGCCAAGCAGTAACACAGACAGCACAGAAAAAGACAACTTCTCTTATGAATATAGATGCAAAAGTCATGAATTAAATCCTGGTGATTTTAATCCACCCATATATTATTTTCACAAAATCAGAGTTCGGCACCAGCCACTTCTAACTTTCCTTAATAACTTGCCATGTGTGTAAATCAGGAATTCATCTTAAAAGAAAAACAAAAGATGTTTCAGTACTTTTATGTAGGAAGCAGGGGAGGAATATAAACATGCGACCTGTGTAGTTTCCATGATAGTCCATCTCACGTAGAAGCAGGCGCTGTGTAGAGGTCCTGTACTGTTCAGAGATAAAGACAAGGCTGCCAAAATAAACCAGAAAATGGACTTATAGACTTGCCTTGTTGTGAGCGTTAAATGTTAAGACCTCCAGGGAAAAGGAGGAGGTTGTGTGGACGGGGCTGTCACAGAGAAGTCAATTTATTTACTTAATTGGGCACTCACTCTTCTTTCCCTGGAAATAATTCCTTACAGTGCATCAGGCACTGTTCCAGGCACACGGCTACAGTGTGAAAAGACAGGCAGAGTCCCTGCCCTCACAGGGCTCCCAGCTGGGTGCCAGAGTCGGGGCCCTGGGACCGGGCACTGAGAGGGTTCCCAGAGACTGAAGCCCCCACTCCCAGCCCATCAGGAGGCTCCAGTTTGGTTGAGGAGACAAACATGGAAGTGAATATGCAAAGCACATCTTGAATGTGACCTTGGTCTGCTTCCTGCTTTCATGACCCTGGGCAGGATTTGGAACAGTCACAGACTGCCAAGGATGGGAAGTTCCGGGATTTATCGGTGGACAGGGTGGTCCTTGGCTGTGGACTTGTGGCCCCACACATGCAACATGTAGATGTCAGAGAAAAAGTCTAGCCTGAGTCTGGGGCCTCTCATTGTCCCCCTGGGAGCCTAAAAGCAGGTCTGGGCTCCACGGAGACAGGGAGCGCAGAGCTCAAGTCCCAACTCCACCACCAGGCAGCCACTGTCTGGCCAGTCCCTACCCACGCACGCTTGCTCTGTCTGCCTGGGGGAGCACGCTCGGCCTGCACGAGAGGCAAACTTAGAAACCAGTGAGGGGCAGGAGGTAGAGCAGTGCTGAGGTGTTCCCCACACAGTTGGTCAGAGGACCTCCAGAAAAATGAAGCCCCAGTTGCACCATCCCAGTGACTATTGCTGCAGAACAAACCACCCCAAAACTCAGTGGCACAAAACAACCATTTTCTTTTTTTTTTAAGTTTCAGTCTTTATTTAAATTTCACCAGTTCTTTTTGTTTGTTTGTTTGTTTTTGAGGAAGATTAGCCCTGAGCTAACTACTGCCAATCCTCCTCTTTTTGCTGAGGAAGACTGGCCCTGAGCCAACATCCATGCCCATCTTCCTCTACTTTCTATGTGGGATGCCTACCACAGCATGGCTTGCCAAGCAGTGCCATGTCCGCACGCGGGATCCGAACTGGCGAACCCCTTGCCGCTGAGAAATGTGCGAACTTAACTGCTGCACCACCGGGCCGTCCCCACAAAACAACCATTTTCTAATGCCTGCAGAGGCACAGCTCAGCTGGGGCGGCCGACTGAAGCGTCTACAGGTGGCTTCTCCATGGAGCTTTGGCTTCCTCACGGCAGGGCAGCCTCGGGGTAGTCAGACTTCCTACGTGGCAGCTCAGGGCTCCAAAAGCAAGTATCCCAGCGGGCCAGGCAGGAAGCCGCATTGCCTTTCATGAGCTCACCTCAGAAGTCACCTAGTGTCACTTCTGCCTTGCAGATTGGCGACCTAGTCATGAGCCCACACAGCTTCAAGGGAAGGGGGCATAGACCTCACCTCTTCATCAAAATCAGTGGCCATGTTTAACACCACCCAGCCCAGCTGCTCGGGGGTCCTCTATCAGCTCTCCTACTCCCCCGTCTCGGTGTCCCCTCCCCAACACTGCTTGCACCCAGGTCCTTGTCTTGGGTCCTGCTTCCAGGGGAACTCAGCTACTTACCAACTGTGTCTGTCCCCTGGCCTCCGCAAGCCTCAGTTTCCTCATCTGTAAGTGTGGATGCTAATGGACTCTCCTCCCAGACTCAGGCTGATGCTTAAACAAGACAGGGAGTGTAAAGTACGCGAGGCAGCGCGTCTGGCATGGAGGAACTCCTCTGTGGAGGTTAACAAGTATTTTTATGAGCTCGGCCAAAGCCAGCCCTTTTAGCCCCCCGCCCCACTCAAAAGAAATTGATGATGCCCCGCCAGTGGTCCTGGGTCCCGACTCCCTCCTGCGGCTGCCTGGCCCCTCCCTTGAGAATGATGGCATGTGGCCCACCCCGAGGGAGGGGAGGGCTATGGCAGCCTGTGAACAACTGCATTTCCCAAAGATGGCCGCAACAGCGTCTCCCATCCCAGTGCACGTCACAAGGTGACTTTGTCACTGCTCCCATCAGCAAGCGCTGCCTGTGTCCCCACCCCTTGCATCTGAGCGGGTTTTTGTTACAGAACCAAAAGACAAGGGCCACGGTGATTTCCCAGGCAGGTTCAAAAAGGAGGTGCAGAGGCTACTTTCTTCCTGGGCTGCCTGTTCTTGATGGCTGCAGCCACTGTGTGAGCAGTCCAGGCCGCCACGCTGTGCGGAAGCCTGATCCAGCCCTGTGGAGAGACCACGTGGAGAGGACCTGAGACTTCATGAGGAGAGAGGACGTTCAGTTAGCCCCCAGCAGGCCCAGACCCACCCCCACCCCCAACGGCAGCTTCTGCCCCCACCTCAGCTGTTTCAGCCCGTCATCTTCTGACTTCAGCCGCATGCAGGAGAGACCTCCCAACCAGAAACACCCAGATGAGCCCTCCCCAAACCCCTGAGCTGCGTGCAAATTACGAGCAAAGCCAATGGCTGTGGGAAAGTGGTGAGGTTCGGGCGGTTGGTATTTAGTGAGAGTAACCAGAACACGGCTTAAGGGGCCATTCTCTAGCAGGGAAACTGGTTAACAAAACCTTCTCCCCTCAGCTGGCTGCCTTCTCTCGCTGAAGGTCAGGCCTGCAGGAAGTGATGGGAGGTCAGCCCTCATATGCTGTGGTTTCCCAGCCCGGCACCTCAATGCTGTATGGTCCCTAAAAGCACGGCTTCATGGCCTCCAAAGGCTTAAAGTGTGCTGGCTCATTTGATACCCCTATAATCTCTCGGTAAGAGCCAGACAGCAGGGCTTAGCAACCTGGACCACCTCCAACCAGGCTTTCCAAAGAGAACGGCCTCAGCCCACTGGCGCTCCTGTGCAATTGATGGGGACGCTGCTCAGAGTTAGGCATTGGCAGAGTCTGCCCGTTTCTCTTGAAGGATGATGTTACCTGTCTGGGCCTTGGCCTGGACCAACCTGCCCTCAGGGCACCTCCACCCGTTCTCAGGTCCCTCAGGTGGCAGAGGCAGGCCTGGCTGGGACAGGAGCACCTTCCTGCTTCGTGCTGTCCTCGCCTTGGTTTCTGCCGCAGAGTGGACGTGCTCACAGAGTGGAAGTGTCTCAGTCCTGGGGCCCTGCTCTGGGCCCCGTTGGAGATGCAAATCGTCATCACAGGCACTTCTGAGCATCCTCTTGCCATCTGCTAGAGCGCCCGGGACACAGCCCACATGCATTCCATAGAATGGCCCTGTGCATGCCCGTTCTCCAGAGGAGGACACTGGGCTCAGTCAGAGACTGAGGGGACTTGCTCCAGGTGACTCAGTTACTAAGTGGCGGAGCTGGGATTGGGGCCAGATCTGACTCCAAAGTCTGCACTCCTAGCCACCGGCCAGCCCTGCCACAGCCGAGGCGGGACGTCTGGCAGAGGTACCCAGCCGTGCGCAGGACCCTTGGGGTTCTTGAGGTTTCACCCCACAGAGCTCCCAGCACCTCTTTTCTCTGCCCTCTCTCCCTTTCCCCTCCTTCTTCCTCCTTCCATCCCCCACTCCCACCACCCTCCTCACATTCTTGGAAGGTAAGGGAGTCCGAGTCGGCAGGGGAGACATTTTACCAGATGACATGACATTGTAGTTAAAAGTTGAGGCTGTGAGTCCAACAGCCATGGCCTTGAAATCCTGCTCTGCAACGTGCTAACCTCGGGCAGGTCCCTTGAGCTCTCTGCACCTCAGCTTCCTCGTCTGTCAAATGGGAATAACTAATAGTACCCATCTCATGCGGTCATAAGGCTCCAATCAGATCACATAGATAAACGGGTTAATGGGAGGCTCCCCCGGCTCAACAAATATGACCTGACATCATCATCACCACCATTACTTGTAGGGATGGGAGGCAAACGATACCACTCAGCAAATGCTAATTTCTATCCCTCCTTTATGTGACCTATATTTTTCACCCCATTTAATATCTTCACTATGCACTAAAGAATAAAGTCGTTTTTAAAATTGCCCTGAGCTAACTGCTGCCAATCCTCCTCTTTTTGCTGAGGAAGACTGGCCCTGAGCTAACATCCATGTCCATCTTCCTTTACTTTATACGTGGGACGCCTGCCACAGCATGGCGTGCCAAGCGGTGCCACGTCCGCACCAGCATCCAAACCAGCGAACCCCGGGCCGCCGAAGCAGAACGTGCGAACTTAACTGCTGTGCCAGAGGGCTGGCTCCTAAAATTGATTTTTTTGTTGAGGTGACATATATAAATTTCAGGTGTCCATCATCATATTTTGACTTCTGTGTAAACTACATCACATTCCCCACCTGAAGACTAACTACCATGAGAAAGGCACAGACACACAACACTTGTTTAAAAAATTAACATGATAGGTAAGACTACCGTCTCTTTTTTTTTTTTTTTAAAGATTTCATTTTTCCTTTTTCTCCCCAAAGTCCCCCGGTGCATAGTTGTGTATTTTTAGTTGTGGGTCCTTCTGGTTGTGGCATGTGGGACGCCGCCTCAGCATGGCCTGATGAGCGGTGCCATGTCTACGCCCAGGATTCAAACTGGCGAAACCCTGGGCCACTGAAGTGGAGCACATGAACTTAACCACTCCACCACGGGGCCGGCCCCTACAGTCTCTTTTGACTCTGTCCTGCAGGCTCTCCCTCTCTGCCTCCTTCCCCACACTCTCCGGAGGTAACCGCTGTGATCATGGGCTGTACCTGCCTCAAATCTGTGCATTTGCAACACAGGCACTTATCGTTTGAAATAAACTGAGCGTTTGAGTATGCAAAGCATTTGATTTGTTTTTACGTAAACGGGTCAGACTGATCATATCCTTCTTCCACTTGCTTTTTTTTTTTACTCAGTAACACCTCTTTTGATTTACTAATGTCAGCAAGAAAGGAGAGGCCTGGTTCTGGGGTCTGGAAGCTGGTGACCTGGTGACCGAATGCCTGAGACTCACAAACTACTTGTTAGTCCCCTGGAGCACTTGACTTTGGCGCTTCACCTTTGTCCTCCCTTATCTATTTTATCTTTGCAAACAAACCACAATCGTCCTCTGTCTGAATCACCTGCAAGCCTCAGGTTCTGAAACTGGAAAACAGCCCTCTCTCCACTCAGCTGGGCCAGACCATCCACGAACCCCAGCCAGCGGGACGGGGGCTCTCTGTGAGCTGCGTCTGTTTCTTTTTTAGGAGGTTATGAAAAGACAGCTCAGGAGCTGTGGGGCCCAGGCCTGTTGTCAAGCCCTCTTTTCTTGAGCCCCCAGTCTTTGGAAGCTGTGATAATCAACAAGAAAAACCAGAAAGGCACGTGTCACCTTGAAGTGTGGAATACAGACCCGAGCATTACAAAAGCAGCCTGTGATGCAACCCTGGAATCAGACCCTGTCCTAGCACCGGGGTGACAGAGGATAAACCACAATCTGACCTTTAGGATTTTCTAACTGTGGGGCCATCCCAACCACTGACTTTGTTTTAGAGATGAAAAGCCCTCACCCGGGAGTGACATTTTGGTGAAAATGCAGCCAGGTTACTTCCTGCTGCCACAGGGATGGAATTTTCTTTGGAAGCTTCACATTTTTCCTGCTTCATGGCAGCCTTGTTCTAGTAAAGTAGTCATTGTTTCTCTCCCCAGCCTCAGGTCCAGAGCTGAGCCAAGCACAACAGCCAAGCCGCAGAGCAGAAAACTGGTGTTCCTAAGATGGACGTGGAACAGAAAGACACAGGACACCTGGGAGAAAGGAGCCTGCCTGCCTCTCTTCCATTCCAGATACTTCCAGCCTCAACCCACTTCACACCACATGGACACACACACATACACGTACAATTTTAACTATATCCCTACTTTGGGGGACAAAAAGCCATGAAATTTTAAAACCTCCAGAAATCTCTAGGTAGGAAATCGAGCATGTATTCTGACAGCAACCTCTCTACAATCACTGGCGCATCCTTTTCCTTCATAACTAGCAATGCGGCCCCCACGCCCAGTGGATTCAGTGCGATATTCAACACTGCTACCAACACCCCCCAGCCCATTTCTATCTGCTGACTCATGTCTCTTTCCAGCCACAGACATCAATTGCAGCCTTTCTTTATGGTTTGGTTATTATCTTGCGTCCTTTGCCACTCTTCCCTAGAATGCATTTCCAGCCCCCATCCTAGCTCTCTTTTCCCTGATATCATGCCCTCCTCTTGAGAATGGATTATTGAAAGCAAAGGCCTTTCAGAGACCCTGGTCTCAATAATCCATTCACTGGAAGAGCCTTTTTTGCATGGATGGATGGGTGGATGGACAAACGGACAAGTGGATGGATGGATGGATGGGTAGATGGGTGGATGGGTAAATGGGTGGAGGGGTGGAGGGATGGGCAGGTGGGTGGAAGAAAGAAAGTTTAGAGCAACTATCCCTGCCAGTCATGTTTTATTCTTATGCAGAGGGAAAGGAAGCAGTTCCAGAGGCAATCCAATGATTTTGTGCTGGTCCAGCCAGGGAAGAAGGTTGTCTGTCCATGCTTAGGTGAGGATGAGGGGGGATGGATGAGTCCAACAGGGGACAGATATTCTTGAACGCTGTGTGATCACGACACATTTGAACTCATCCTCTTTCCTCACATCTGTTTCTTCTCCCACAGCCTCGAACTGTTTTTGTGTCACCATTTGTAGTAGACAAGAGTTGTCTATTTCCACTGCATCCATTTTCTTTTGTTGACAGTTATGTTTTCCTTGGTGGGTTGATCCCCTCACTCACATTCAAGATCTTTGGCTCTGAGATCTGAGATCTCTGCCATCTCAGAACTCTGTGGTTCAGATCTATGACTCAAGTCCCTCCCCTAAAAGTTGGCTCATGTCATCTTTTTTTCCAACATATTATTAGAAAATTTTCAAACATAGAGCAAAATTGAAAGAATTTAACTCTTTTAAATTAAATTAAAAACTTGCTTATCTCATGTCTCTCCATCTATTTGTCCCTCCATTAAGCAATTAATCCATCTTATTTTTGGTGCATTTCAAAGTAAATTGCAGACATCATTACGCTTCTTCCTAAATATGTATCATTGATTGGAGTCCAATATTTGTTTACATGTTTTTTATTAGACTGTAACATTTATGTACAATAAAATACACAAATCTTGACATTTGCTGAGGTTTGTACACACTGTGTAGCCCAAATACCTACTAATATATAGAACATTACCATCGCTCCAAAAAGCTCCCTCATGCCCAATCTCCACCCTCGACTTCCAGAGGCAACTACTGCTCTAACATTGCCACTTGGGGTGTTTCCGGTTTCAGGTCTTTATAAAGCTGTTATGAAAATTAC